ATTTTTACAGATTTTAGATGCTTATGTGGACAGGAAACAACTCTCATAAAGGTAAAATGTAGATTTATCAGTTCAGTAAAAGTTGTTGTTGTTTGCATTTGCAGATAATTGGATGGAGTCTCTGTCCCAACCTCCACTATGCGCATGAACTGTGCACTTAATTTATAAATTCACATTTTGGGACATTTGTAAGGTATTTAGTCCTCAAGCTAGGTGTAGTGTTTTGGGATTTTGGACTGCAAATATGGGATACTTTCTGCTGATGATCATTACTTAAAATTTACTCAGATTTAGTGACTCCATCAGATTTATCAGGGTAAATTTAGACGATTATATGACACTAAAATTATCCACTGAAAGCCCAAAAAACTACTTTAAAAATAGAAAATTAAAGTGAAAAAAGGCAGTAATGAATTTAAAATCCTGTGCATGTTTGAAAATGTTTTCTATGTAGTCATATGGGAAGAGTAAAGTATGCAACATCATCTTAAAATACGTTTTCACATCATTATGCTCCCATAAATGCATCACACAGTTCTGCAGTCAATATAATAGCTGACAGACAGACAGAGAGAAAGAGAGAGACATCTGAAATCCTGTAAGGAAAATCATTAAATGGACGGCCGGCAGTCTAATCTAGGCCAAAGCCGCTGTCATCTGTTCCATCCTAATCCACATATCTACAGATATGTCATTATGATGTTTTGATATAAAACCCTCCATGACTGTACAGCAGAGCCTTAGCCCAAGCTGCAGGGCTGACAAAATGAATCTGCAGCTGAAGAGCAAAATCTTTCATTGGAAGCAATATTGAACAAAAGATTTTAAGTGAGAGTCTCTTTTCTTTGGTATTAATATATGGACAATGCAAGGGTGTTGGTTTCATTTCAACATTAGGAGAGGGTGAGTACATATAGAACAGGGGGTAGGAAATTGTGAGCATCAAACACTTAATGTCCTGCATTCTGGTGAACTTTTATGCATCAATTAGTACTTTTTCTGTGTCAATTTAAGGTGAAAATGTTTTTAATTTTGTCACAATATGAAGGCAAACAAAAGTAGGGATTAGTGTCCCCATCATCCCTCCTGGAATCTCTGCCTATGACACTGTTTTTAAAGGGAAAAAAAACAGCACAAAAAATGGGTTTTGTGCCTCTTTATCTCTTCGATTAAAAGCCGTGACATAATGCATTTTATTGCAAAGTATCAGGGAGTTTTCCTTTCCTGTGAATGTGGTATTGTAAGTGAAACAATTTGTCATTGTTTATGGTCGAAGTTCTTGTGTGTGATGTTTTGCATTTGGAGAAAAGCCAGTACAGAGATTCAGTCCGTGCCACTGCTAAGCAGACTTGCCCTTAAAAATAGTCCTAATGAATCCCAAACTCAGTTTATGTGTTCTGTTCACATGCTATGAAAGAAGGCGTCCAGCTCTGAGCTCTGTGACCTTTTTACAGCCAACTTTTTTTTTAAGGATTCATTCTTGCCTTGTGTTGTAGATGTACAGCTGCATTCTCAATCATTTAACGTAACATCATGCTGTAAATTTGATCTATATTTTTATGTAAGCAGTAATTTCTTTAAGAGTTTGAGTCCAGGTGGGCAAATGGTGGTTTGTCAGTAAAGGATGGTGAGTCAGAAAGTTTAGGAGGACATGTTTTAGTTAAGTGCAGAGCGTGGCAAGGTAATTTTAAAGGTAAACTGTATGCAACTATCAAATAACTTCCTTTTAAAGAGAAACCAAGGATAGCTCTATGCTGAGGTGTAATTTCCACTTTCAAAATCCTGTTTGTCACCCGAGCACTTTCAAATCTTTTTCATCAAAGAATTGCACAAAATACGCTCCTATTTTTCCAGCCATCAGATCCTGGCTTAAAATGTGAATTTAGTGACTGATTTTACTCTGGTATACTCACTAAAATGCCACAAAGGAGAAGCATATTCAGCATATTTACAACTATTCTGGCAGAATTTAGCATGACAACTAATTTAATAATTTCCCAGATTTTGTTTTGGCTTCCATAGTCCCTAAATGAAAGTAAAAATACAGGAAATAGGATTCAAATTGTTATTTTTTATTTCCTCAGGGAGGACTCCCCATTTTATTGTGTCCCTCTTGACTTCTCAAACCAAAGTTATGCCCTTGTCGTTGTGGTTCTGCTTTTAGTTTAGTTTAGTTTATTGTGTATTTGACAGGGACATCACACAATCAGCAAAATTGCACCAGATTTAGCTATCAGCTAATTCACAATTCACAATTCACAATTCACAATTCTGTTTCCCTTTATATTTGTCATTCCAGATTTTTTTTAATCTTTATTAGTTTCTTGGCGAATACAGGTACTATCTTTCTAACCAATGGAAAACATGGTTAGGTTATATTTGCTGTTTATACTGTATGCATGGCATGCTTTTAAATTTGGGTGGCTCTAAGCACCATATCTTATCCATGCTGTCCAAAGCTTACATATGGTAATAAATAGATTCTACCATGTTGTCAATTTCCATGCAAGCTTTTTGGTTGTTCTGATACCAATACCAGTTTCAGACATACCTCCTATATTACTAAAAATTCTGGATCAGGTATCGGCAAGTTTGTGAGTCTATGCACTGATCCAATAGCATATGATTTATTGATAAACATTTAAGTAGTTTCACACCTGGATAAAACAGCAGTTTGGAAAAGAATTCTTCTTTGCTGTTCCATCAAGGTGCTGTGCGGCTAATGGCAACTACTGAAGATCTGATTTCCGGTAAGTACTGGAACGTTAGCTGTAAGCAGAATTTCAGCGATTTGGCAACATTTCACACTGGATAGATGGATGTTCTACTGTATGGTATTTACTCTAAGTATGTTTATGTTTTGTAAAGGATATAACCTGATTCATACCATAAAACAATGATAGCAATCATTTTGCATCCACACTGGAATAGTAGTATACAGCTTCTAATTTTCTTTTGGCCGATACACAAGTTTTGGTATTGGTATCAGGAAGAAAATAATGGTGTTAGAATATCTAGAAGAGTTACCATAAGTGTAACAGTGTAACAGAAGATTGCACGCAATACAAGGAAGAAAGAAAGGCAGATGTATGCAGCTGCAAGTCAGGCAGTTAATGAACTGGACCAGAAGAGGAGTTTTACTTGTAATGTACCCAATATGTTCAACCCACGACCGGCGAGATGTCCTAGCGCACATGTTTGTGCTCCAATTAAAGGCGAACAAAAGGAAAATTAGCGTGCATGTAGGGCAGCGGAGGGGGAGCACAGAGGGTGACCTCGTTGATCCATATGTTTTCACAAGATCTGTTCAAAGCAGTTCCGCATGAGGGAACTTCTCACTTTCATTGCCTTTTTTAACTCGTTTAGAGAGCAAAAACATCATGGAGACAAAGTTTGTCACAAGGAAAGCAACAGGGATGATGACTCTGAGGAGCAGGGATAAAAAAAAGGATGATAAATGATTGGTGGCGATGCTCACTCCTGTCAGATATAGTAACTGTAGGCAGATCGAGCAGAGGAGTTACACTGAGGCCCTCAGTTTACTGGTATATGAGCAGCTCTTGTCTCATCTGGCGCAGGCTTTTGTTGTATGTGGTGTGGTGTTTTACGGCGGAGTGGAGGGGGGGCGTCTACCCCATCGGCCTTCCTATACGCCACTATGACAGTGCTCTCAAGAGCTGTCAGCCCACATCAGCAGCCCAGCATCCTGATAGCTCAGCCTAAATCACAATCAAAACTGTGGCCACCACATCCTAACCACAACCAGTCAAATCAGAGAACGCAACGAGCAAAGAAGACACGGGGATCAACTATCGTCAAGTGGCTTTAAAAGTACCTCACAGAGTACTACAGTACGTGTTGGCTTGAAACAGTCCAAGGGTGAGGGGGTTCCAGTGAGTCGGCGCTGGCAGCAGCACAGTGTAAAGGGCTTTACAATGCAGGCACACCATGTTGTGCTGTGAATGCGGTGCTAAGAGCTGAGCGTTAAGTCGGCCATTTTAGATTTGCCACAATTTGTAATGTGAGATCACTGCTTGTCACAAAGTCATGGCTTCCATACGCCAAGCTTTTCGCCGAGCAGTCATGCAGAACGGGTCCAAAGCATGTCCCCGTTACTTGGATTTATCGCTATTCCTACCAAACCCCTTTCAGCCGTTGCTCTATTTTAGCATTGTCACCTCCAGCAGGAACATTTGTCAGTGCACCACTTTCATTGCTTTTTACCCAAACAAAGGAGTTATTCAAACGCAGTGTTCGATCTGACGATGAGGTAATGATGAATGACATTTTTGGTGTATGACTGGCCGAGAATAAGGCCATCAGCTGCGCTAATATCAGTGTGACGATAATTGGAATAATGATCTTGGAGAAGAAATGATGTACCAATTCCACTGACCATCAGTCCTACAATGAAAAAGGTCAATGTAGCTTCATAGTTAGCAGTAGATAAACAGCAGTTCTTCCAGTTATCATTCATGTTCCTCATTCGGCGCTAATTCTTAGACAATAAAATCGCTCATGCTTGAATCTAAGCCAAGACAATGAACATCCAAACAATGATCATCAACAGACACCTGAAAGTAAAATCGACTGGCCGTATAATTGACTATTCTCTTGGGAAAACCAAAATATTTCCACACCGCATCGCACACTGAGGATAACTTTAGAAAATGTTAACTCGATCTACTTCAGATAACTAGATCAGATAATGAGTCAATAAGTCGCACTGTGTCACAGCTCATTATCAGGATAATGATTGTTCCTGACTGTGGGTAGGTTACCAAGTTAATTAATTATTGAACGGCTTTAACCGGCTCAGCATGGACCTGTATTTCATGCAAGTTTTCAACAGTTTGATGCTTGTAAAGTCCAGAAACCATCTTTTCTGAAAATTAAAAAAATAAATTATGCATGTAGCATTCTAGGAAAAATGCCAAAGCACATCTTGACCAAAGATTTACCAAATGATTCTTCATAAGAGCCATAAAAAGAGGGTTTACCTTTATGTAGCGCAGGATACAGTAGATGACTATCACTTTGGGCGTTGCAAGATTAAAAATCGCAAAGGGAAAATGATTTTTTTTTTCCCCTCTTTCTTTCGCTCTGCCCAGGACAAACTCTGCCACCCTATTGGTCCGTACCGCAGGGTCACATGAGCAACCAGAAACACGTGACAGTTCTCAAAATTATGTGATGAAACCAAACTGACTGGCATCCTCAATGAGCACAGTTTTAGTTGCTGCGGTGCGATAGTCTGTTTGTCATACTGTTTGGTGTCACGTGTAAATAGGCCGTATGATGAGGCGTAATCTGGGTGACCATCACCCACCGCCCCCCCCATCCACCCCCCTTCCCTCAGCTGCAACAAAAGCGGGGCATGCCCAGTGAGGCACACGGGCATCAAGGGGGCACGTCTGGGGATGAGTGGGTCTGAATCAGAAGTGTAGCCTCCGGGGTGCTCGTCTATCCCAGGGGAGGGTTGAGCACCCCTGAAATCCACCAAGCTATTTGTTGTCAATGCTAATAACAATCGACACAAAAATAACCCTGCAACACTTTCAGATAACCTTACATTTGAAACACTGAGGTATCACTACAGTCTCGGTCAGGACAGTTGAGGAACTTTTCAATGCACCCAACCACTTCAAAGAAGTAGAGGTCAAACCAAATGCACACACGCTCAGACACAGTGCCCAAACACACCACTGTAGCATGCATATCCTACCCAGTCTCTCTGTTCCTCTGCTTTTTAATCTGCTTCTATCTGCAAGTGTGTATGTGCAGAATTACAGAGCTTTGGAGGCATCCCATCCAGATTTTTTAATCCAGCACAAATCCCGCCCTTGTGTCAGATGGACAGTTGTGTGCAGAGCTTAATCTGACATTATTAGGGTTGGATGGCTGTAATGAGGCTCCCAGTATGCATGTGCTCTTAATTTGTTGTACCTATACAAAACAAAATGGTAACCATGCCTTACCTACCCACCCGACTGTAAAATGGCCCATGGGATAAAGTACAAATAGAGCATTAAATCTGCTCCACACTGAATCATAAGAGGCAAAGAAAGAGTGGTAAAATGGAGCACCACGTCAGAAGAAATCTGCTTTATATTCGAACGACACTGTTGGCTCACCTTCAAAACCCAAAACGAAGACTGGTGGCAGCACTGGGAAAATGACTACTTTATATAACATCCTTGTATAATTGAGTAAAGTCTAATCCTTATTAGTGCTAAATGTGGTCTGTCCTCAGTCTTTGAGAAATTACATATAATCTGTCAAAAGTTGTTTGATGGAGTAGTATTAATGGATTACAGCACCATAATAAGCCATCTAAATTAAAAATGAAAAGAACAAAAGATCTTTATCTTCATCTTTCAGGCTAAAAGCTAAAATTATATCTTGTTTGAAGCATTTTCATAAAGTCCTTTTAAACGAAGCACTTCTTTAGGTCAAAGGTCAAACTGCTTACCGGTTAAGATGTGGGGAAGCTCCTTATCAGGAGGAAGGAGGTGCAGTCTGGGAGTTTAGGACCAAGATGGCAGATTGTGGGCACACTAAGGGCTGGGGCAGCTCCCAGGGCCCTATAAGTTGACTAACCCCCCGCCCATGGCCTCCAGCAAGGTGATGAACCCTCCCGTTACCACCCCACCCCTACCAGAGCTGAGCTCCACATAAGCACCCATGTGTCCTGTCAGGGTGCCAGGGTCCTAATGGAGGCAGAAGGGTGTGAAGGAGAGAGGGAGGTAGATCATAGTGACAGTCAATCCAACTGATTGTTGGTTGTAGAAGAGTGGTGACAAAAGAGGGCTGAGTTGACCCCATTGGTACAAATGTAGTGTGAAAGAAGTGTGAAAGTGTCTTATAATTCCCACTTTTTAAAATGATTTTTGCGCTATTGGTATTCCATTGACCAACACTCTCATAACCTTTTTGGAAGTCAAGCAATTTCAACACATTATACCAATGGGGCATTTTACAGGAAGAAGTTGTTTCCTACATTTGTCTTTAGCCTTTAACACCTTGAAACCTGGAGCAACATCACTTTCCTTGCGCTGCTTTCAGACGCCTTTGTACAAGTATTTAAACCTTTGAACTCTGAGCAAATTGGTACGATTTTTTTCAAAAACATGGGAGAAAAGGCAATGAGCAACTTAGTAAGAAATGTCCCACAAATTGCAAAAATTAATAGATTTAAAAAAAAAATGTTTTCTTTTCAAAGTAGAGAAAAAAGTAAAAAAAAAAAAGAAAAGCTGGGGGAAAATTACATTTATAATTAACAGTATTACATATTTAATATTATGGTGAAGAATTATTGTAAATAATTAATTTTCTCTTTATACTAAAGAAATCATAGGAAGAAGGCAACAAATTACTGAACAGAAAATTTCCCCAAAATAAGAAGAAATTAGTTGCAAGAAAATTACTTGAAAATGAGCCAAAATGAAAAGTAAAAAACAAACAAACAAGCAAATGACATGATGTTTTTCTTTTTCAAAAATAAAAAATATGTATGTTTATTGTAAATATGTAATTTAAATAGTTACATAGTTTTATTGACAGTTTTCCCTCTTTTTTGATAATATTCTAGTAATCTCCCCTAGTAATCCAATATTTTCTTAACACCTTTTACTTATTTATTGCAGTTTGCCCGACATTTCATTTAATATGCTCATTGCTTTTTTCCTGTGTTTTCCAAAGAAATAAAACTAGTTTGTTTAGGTTTCAAAGGTTTAAATGCTTGTGAAAGTTGTCTGATTGCAGCACGAGAAAACTGATGTAGATCCAGGTTTCAAAGGGTTAAAAAACAACAACAGAAAAGTAAGATTAGAACTAGTTGTTGTTATGGAAAAAGTCAGGGAAGGAGAACAGGAGAGTGTTGGGTGATGGGTCGTATTGGCTTTGAGCTATTTCTGCCAGACTTTCCTCTACAATCAATATTGATTTTCCATGAGTAACCATCAACATGCAGCCACGGACTGTCAGAGTACTGGATAATGGCCAGCCAGCTAAGTGGGTATCAGTCCAAAAAACAATTAATATAAATTGCTTTTATTGGGTTTCTGATCCTTTTCATTCTGTTTAAATGAAAGATGGCTCAGCAGTATCCTGGTTACTATTTGACCAATCAACCTGGAGCTTTTGAAAATGTGGATCCTTGCCTAACTTAACTGCTTAACTTTTATCGTATACAAGTTTAGACTAATATTTAAGGATGTCTGCAAATGTGTTTTCGTCGTGTTTATTTAAACTTTGGTGTGCCACAAGGCATTATTGTAGGCTTGCTGCTTTTATATATCCATCTGTTAGCATGCAGCCCTGTCTCCTAGAAATGACTAAACTGCTTTTTAGTCACGCTGTTGTAGCAATGTGATCATTAGCTGGATTGTGTTCTGATACATTTTGTTCAAGTCACAAAACACTTTCCTAGGTTTAAGCAACAAAAGCACTTGGTTAAGGTTGGGGGAATGTTTTGATCTTAGCTGAAATATGTTGTTGGTGAACATTTTGCTGATACATGCAGTATCAACATTTGTGCCAGGGACATTAATAAGTAACATTTCATCATTATGTTAATAGAAAATGCAATTTGGTCTGCATTAAGTTTCTCTCAAAACATATTTGCTGTTTCAAATTGGTTGTACATAAACGTAATTTCTAGGAGACAGGGTTGTGGCATGAAACATCACTTCTACGTGGATGATACTCAACAATATATTTCTAATAAAGGGAGTGATCATTCCCACACCCTCATTTCTGTATTTATGAACATTTTGATCAAATTGGTGACCTTAATTAATGTTTTAATTCCTCTTAACACTATCATTATTTAATCTTCCCTTGCCTTTTTTTAGGCTATAAATGTGATTAAGGGCTGTTTAAATACACTCAACTTGGACCACAGGAAACAATCATTCTTACTTTGCAGAGCTGTCCTCTTTATGAGCACCATGCCAAGAACTGTAAAACATAAAACATTTAAGCATTTTCCCACTCTAGAACCTAATCGGTAACTCTACTTGGCTAAACCTAAAGACACCCAACTATGTTTCTTTTCCTAAACCTAACCACAGTAACTTTGTGTTAACTATAACTGTACTTTAAGGATGTAATGTCATTTGTGGGGTGCTAATTCATAGGATATCATGCAGACTGTTCTTCGGACTGGACACATTGACAATATACTATAACTGTAGTTTGCAAAAACATACAATGTGAATATTTTTTCTGGTGATTTGGTTGAGGGGGCGGCATGGTGGTGTGGTGGTTAGCACTGTCGCAAGAGGGTTGCCGGTTCGGTCCTGGGCGTGGAAGCCCTTCTGTGCAGAGTTTGCATGTTCTCCCCATGTCAGCGTGGGTTCGCTCCGGGCACTCCGGTTTCCTCCCACAGTCCAAAGACATGCAGACTGGGGACTAGGTTAATTGATAACTCTAAATTGTCNGTGAACTAAAACCCTTTGGCGTGAGTATGAAACAAGACATCAGATGACATAATTTTGGGGTTTGGGAGAGACAGACCGATATTTTTCAACATTTTACCACATTTTTCGATAAAATGATTAGTCGACTAATGGAAGAAATAATCGACAGATTAGTCGACAATGAAAATAATCGTGGGCGGCACGGTGGTTAGCACTGTCGCCTCACAGCAAGAGGGTTGCCGGTTCGATCCCGGGTGTAGGAGTCCTTCTGTGCGGAGTTTGCATGTTCTCCCCGTGTCAGCGTGGGTTCTCTCCGGGCACTCCGGCTTCCTCCCACAGTCCAAAGACGTGCAGGTTAATTGATGACTCTAAATTGTCTGTAGGTGTGATTGTGAGCGTGAATGGTTGTCTGTCTCTATGTGTCAGCCCTGCGATAGTCTGGCGACCTGTCCAGGGTGTACCCTGCCTCTCGCCCAATGTCAGCTGGGATAGGCTCCAGCCCCCCGCGACCCTCAAGAGGATGAAGCGGTTAGAAGATGAAGATTTGGTTGAGTTTTACACTCAGTCATAAAAGTGACAGAAATACTTCTCACTTGCATTACTACAAACATGCTACATGGGTTTAAAGAGTTATAGATGCCTTATGGTGAACCTTTCAGTACTCTTCACTCTTTGTTGGTACTATTTAGGTCTTTGAAAAACCCAGGAACTCTGTAAGTGCATGATCTTTGCTAAACTAAACTATGAAGATGTGAAAGTGGAAAGGCTGTGCATTAAAGATAATTCAGATATACTGTGGAGTATAGATGTAAAAGGCAGTAAACACACAGAAAAGCAGCTGTACTTAACCATCAATAAATGTAATTTAAAAAGAAATATAGGAGCCCTTTTGAACCCTTTTCTGTTTGATAATGTCTAACCA